GTTTAGGGGTTTGGGGGCTTAGGGGGAATCTGAACCCTAAACTTTAGGATGGCTTTAGGGTTGAGGGCTTGCAAGGTTTAACCTTTAGAGCTTACAGAGGGTGTATGGTAGAGTCGTGAATCTGTACACCCTCAGCGTTGTTCTGAAGTGCAATGGGCCCTCTTTCTGTCGCAGGCGAGAACTTAAACCCCGTGGTGCAGATCCCACACCCTACACTTTAGGGCTCAGGGTCTGGGATTGACAAGCTTCAGGATTTAGGATCTAGGGTTTAGGGTTTAGGGGGTAAACGCAAACCTTGAACAATAAAACACAGATGTGCTCAACCGGAACAGAGAAACCCCAGGGGCTGAACGAACCCCAAAACCCTTCAACCGGAAACGCCCTGAACCCGAAATCCCCATAGGGTTCAGGGCTTCGGATTATCTCACCCCTAAACCTCTAAACCCCTAAACCCTAAACCCCTAAACCCATGAACTCCTAAACCCCAAACCCTGAACCTGGAACGGACCCGTGCAGCCCCACTTGCAGATGAAGGTGCAGGGCGAGTAAGAAGAGACCTCCCTGCAAGACCTGGACAGCAGAAAGATGAATTCAATGTGGGTTTAGGGTTTAGGGTTTAGGTGATCAGGGTTTAGGGATTAGGTGATCAGGGTTTAGGGTTTAGGGTTTAGGGTTTAGGGTTTATACGGGATCCATAGGGATTTATACGCGATCTATAGGGATTGATACGGGATACGGAAGACCCTTTGCAAACTGTTCGGGTCCCTACTTCGGTGTACGCAGTGCCGTCGTTTGGGGTCTACGACCTCTTTTGGGTTATTTGACGTGTTTCTTCGTTCTACCATCGCCGCAGAATCCGGGTTGCCCTGCAGCACGCAGCCCCAGCGAATTGGGTTTAGGGTTCCCTAAACCCCAAACCCTAAACCCCAAACCCTAAACCCTAAACCCTAAATCCCAAACCCTAATCCATAATCCCCAAACCCTAAACCCTAAACCCTAAAGGCTCTTCGAGTCAAACCCTGCTACTCGAAAGGCGCTTACCTGCGGAGGGACATATAGAGCTACCTACCGTGGTATATACACTGTGCTAAAGGCAAGCAGCAACATCTGCAGAATCTGCCTCTCCATGACTTACAATCACGTGTCGCAGGGAAGCAGAACCTAGATCCGTTTTGCTGTTGGGTCTTCGAGAATAATCGCACCTCAAAGCCATGTTTATCTCAACACAACTAGCACGGACTACCTTTTCTTTTATCATGGTTGTGGCAAATATGCAAGTTACCCATAGGCCCCATAGTAGTTCCTTTTTATTCAGAATCATATAATGTAATCCCCAAAAGGAACTACTATGGGGCCTATGGGTAGCCTGGAGCAGATCACTAGCCTTCGGCTAGCCCTCCCCCAGGGGTGTCAAACGTACTTACCCCGTTAAGCCCTGACCCTGACCCTAAACCCTAAGCCCTAAGCCCTAAACCCTAAACCCTAAACCCTAAACCCTGACATTACTCCAAGATCCGGTTCCCAAGCTTCAGATCTCGTTTTAATGGGTTTTGGGGAGTGGGGTTCAGGGTTCGGGGTTTAGGGTTTTGGGTGCAGGGTGTGGGTTTTCAGGTTTAGCGGGCTTGGGTGTAGGGTTTGGGGTTCGGGGTTTCGGTTTGGGGTTTAGGGGTTTGAAATTCCGGGTTTACAGGATATAGGTTCAGGACATTATTGCCTGTACGGCGGGAAGTCAAAGGCTTTAGAAAGTTGGTCTATCTGAAACCTGTCTGGCTCAAAAGTTTGGTCGAGAGCTTTACGGCTTGGTTCCGTACTGGTTTGGCGCTTGGGAGCGTCACGGAATGTCACGGCCCGAGACTCCTAGAACTCCGAATCCACACAAGAGCTGTGTAGGTTTTATAGAACCCCCCCTGAAGCCTAAACCCTAAACATCGCTAAATCCTAAACCATCATCCCTTTAAACTTTAGAAGCTTGTGTACTGAACCCTTATGGTACCCTTCGAACAGCCCTCCATCCCGAAGGAGCACTCCGCACGAAGGCAGCTGTTTCCACAAGTCCTACAGACCTCGGAGTGCCTGAAGGGGTCCGGGACTCACTGCACCAAAACCCTGTGATTTAGGTAGAAAGTAGAAAGATAGCTATAGACATGGATAGATAGATAGATAGATCGATACATAGACAGAACGATGCATAGACAGATAGATAGATAGAAAGATCGCTAGCTAGATAGATGGCTTGATAGTTCGATCGACTGATAGATAGTTAGTTAGATAGAAAGATGGATAGATGGTTAGATAGACAAATAAGTAGGTAGGTAGGCAGGCAGGCCGGCAGGTAGGTAGGATGTAGGAGGGTAGGAGGGTAGGAGGGTAGGAAGGTAGGAAGGTAGGAAGGTACGAAGGAAGGTGGGTAGGCAGGTAGAGGCATGCACATACATATATGTACACACACACACATGAGTCTGTGTAACCTAAAGCCCTAAACCCTAAAGCCCCACAAGCTGCTCCAGCAAAAGCGCCTTCTCATGGATGGGGCGCTTGGCTTCCGGCTTCACCTGGCATGTGGGATGTGGGTTCGGGACGGGACGGGCGTGTGTGGGCGTTTAGGGCTTGAGGGTTGAGCTTGTGGCAGCTAGGGGGCTGGGAGCTCCGAGTTTATAGGGGTTTAGGGTTTAGGGTTTAGGGTTTAGGGTTTAGGGTTTAGTCTTCAGGTTTCCGAGTAACGAACCCCTTACAAACAACGGTACGTACCCCTCTTTCCCCAGGCTGTAAACGACCATACTTAGCTCGAGAAAAAACATTCATTTCACCCTAAACACTAAACCCTTAACCTCCTTCAGGAAGTGTTTTGGCATCATAAATTAGAATAGGGTTTGAGGGCCCATTCTACTATAAACTTAGTATGGAACCCCCCCAAAAAAAACAGTATGGGTAATTTATTAGGCCTCTATATTAGAGTTTAGGGTTTCGGGGCCCAGGCATTCAGGGTTGGGGCTGCTTGCGAGTCTAAGCCTCGCATGCAGTCGAACCTTGAAACCTAGAAACCTCAGTTTCCGGGTCTTGCGCAAATATAGGGGATAGGGGCCTTGGTAATTAGAATTTGCATTTCGGTGTAAATGATATTAGTATACTTGTAATCAGGCACCCTCAAGAAAGATTTGTTAGGCTTCTATATTGCATGACGCTCTCTTGCGACCATGCGCTGCAAGGAACCCGCATCCAACATCTGAGGGCTTGCGTAATCGTCATCAAAGCTGCAACTACAGCAACAGTAGCCGAAAGTGTAACGATCATGACGCCAAGACTAACAATGACAGAACGACGAGCTATTCAACACTACCCATAGGCCCCATAGTAGTTCCTTTTGGGATTACCTTATAGGATTCTAAATATGAACCCCAAAAAGGAACTACTATGGGGCCTATGGGTAGTCACTAGCAGCAGTTTGATTCAGGGATTAGGGTGCAGGGTTTAGCGAACTAAGGTCTCGGATCCAGTCTTTTAACTTGGGTATCTCTACTATAGGATGTGGTGTAGGGTTTGGGGTTTAGGGTTTAGGGCTTAGGGGAATAATTAGAATAGGGTTTTGAGGTACATGATATTATAACTATGATAAGGAGTCCCCGAAACAGTATTGGTAATCATTCAGGCCCCTATATCAAACTTCACGGGACAACATTTCAAAAGGAAAGCATGGCAGCTGGCACGTACTTCCGGGCGTTCATGTCGCACCTCACTTTGTACAGGTTCTGCTGGGCGTCCTCGTGGGTGCGAGATCCTATGCCAATGTATACCTTGCAGATTCCCGGGCCCTGAACCCTACACGAGGCCAAAACCCTATCCCAAACCCCACCACCCCCAAGCTTCCATTCAGAAGCCCCACTGCTTCCGATGGTCCTCAAGCTTGAACCACATGAAAAGGTTCATGGACGTCTCTGTGACTGTCCAGTCGGTCAAGACCTGAGCTTGAGGTTTAAGGCTTTTCGTCTCGGATTTAGGGCTTAGGTATAGGGTTTACTAGCCAGACAGGCAGAATCTGGCAGTAGATGTAGTGGATGCATTAAATGTACTGGATGTAGTAGTTATCGTCGAAGTGATAGTGGTCAATATGCACGTACGCAGCAATATGTAGGACGAGCAGCCGCAGCAGGAGTAGCAGTAGCTGTCGCAGTAGCAGGACCAGCAGCAACCACAACAACCGTAGAACATCGGAATTTCAAATCAGCGTAAGTGTCGTCGCTCAACACAGGCCCATAAACACTCAGAGAGATTGTCGGGTAGCTTCTTCCGAAGCGCGATAAGGACAAGACCGGGAATCTTTAGGATGGAGAGGTTTCGGGACCCATTCGCGCGGGGTTGCCACAAGAAGACACTTGATCGAGACAAGTTCAAGGGTCTTAGGCAAAGGGTTTAGGGGTTTAGGGTTTAGGGCTTCGGGTTCTGTAGGATCCCCAAAATGTCAGTCTCCCCTATGAGTTTAGGGTTTAGGGCTTAAGTCCACAAGCACGAAACCTGAGACCAGCGCACGAAGCTCTTCAAGAAACGGCACGGTCGTGTACACCTCGCAGTGAAGATTCCGACCGGGAACGCAACATCAGAGTTTCAGGAAATCAGTGGCATAGATATGCAGAGAGATAGATAGATAGATCGATCGATAGATCGATCGATGGATAGATCGATCGATAGATAGATCGATCGATAGATAGATCGATCGATAGATAGACTAATAGATAGACTAACAGATAGATAGTTAGATAGACAGATAGATACAGGTAGACAGACAGACAGATGGATAGATAGACAGATATAGATAGATAGATAGATAGATAGATAGATAGATAGATAGGTAGATCGATAGACAGATCGATCGATGGATAGATAGATCGATCGATAGATAGACTAATAGATAGACTAATAGATAGGCTAACAGATAGATAGATAGACAGATAGATACAGGTAGACAGGCAGACAGACAGACAGACAGACAGACAGACAGACAGACAGACAGACAGACAGATGGATAGATAGACAGATATAGATATATAGATAGACAGATAGATAGACACATGGATAGATAGATAGACAGACAGATAGACAGATAGATAGATAGATAGATAGAATAGATTGGTATAGGTTTGATGACATTAGATAAATACTTAGAGTAGATGGGCAGAGGATCGACAAATGTGGCAGATCCCTGCCCTGCGCATACATGGAAGCCCATCCCGGCAGACGTAAAGACAATACTATGGGTTTAGGGTTTAGGGTTTAGGGTTTAGGGTTTAGGGACACACACACACACATCATATACCTACCTTGGTTGCGTACTTGCCCTTGTCTGCTCATACCGATGTATAGATTCAAGCTTTGCGCCTAGATTCGAGTTCGTAGTACATGTTTGGCGGGCAGGTGCTTCGAAGCCCGAACACCCGAAAAGCCCAGACCCTAAACCTAGATTGTTACACGGGCCATTCTGAGGGAATACAGCTCCTGATTACAAAGCTACAACACGCCGCACTACAAGCCTGGCTACATCTAACTTCGGGCTGAAAAAATGTAGGGGCCTTAATGATTAGAATAGGGTTTGGGGCTCCTTTATAGTATAGTTATAACAAGGAGCCCCCAAATAGTATTGGTAACTATTTAGGCTTCTGTATTCGGTGGGTTTAGAGTTTGGGGTTGGGGTTTAGGGTTTACAGTCCCTGAGCCTTACGCCCTGACCCCCCGAAACCCTGAGGCCCTAAAACCTGAACCCTAAGGCCCTAAACACTAAACCCTAAACCCTAAACCCTAAGCCCCAAGGTAAACCTAAGGCCCTAAACCCTAAACCCGAAGGTAAACCCAAAGGCCCTAAACCCTAAACCCGAAGGCAAACCCTAAGGCCCTAAACCCTGAACCCCTACAGTACAGCCTCAAAGAGCCCCGAATCGGCCCCAAATGGCGGCCTTGAAAAGAAGCCAGGGAACCATGTCGACCTCAGGTTTAGGGTTTAGGGTTTAGGGCTTCAGGGTTTAAGGGTTTAAGGGTTTAGGGTTTAGGGTTTAGGGTTTAGGGCTTAAGGGTTTAGGGGTTTAGCGTTTCCTAGAGTTGCCTTCAGGTTAAGGGGGGGTTCGGGTTCAGAGGTCTTAAGATGCAAGTTTCCGGCTTTTTTCAGGGCCAAAGGTTCAACACTTAGGATTTAGGGCTGAAGGCTCAGAAATTAGGAGGTAGGGCTGAAGGTTCAGAGAAGCTTGGGGTTAAGGATTTAGGGCTTAAGGTCAAGGGGATCAAACTGTTGAAGGTGCGAGGTGTAGGGTTTAGGGTTTAGGGTCTGCGGTTTAGGTGTAAGGTTTAGGCTGTAAAGCTTGATTTATGCGGTGTAAGGTTCGGGGTCAGAGCTGTGTTGAGGATTCTTGTGGCTTCGGGCGAAGCTCGACAGCCCCAAATAACTGACGCCACGGATCCCAAACACCAAAGCCGCTATCCCTGAACCCCGAAACCCTGTGCTAATATGGGGGCCTTAATAATAAGAATAGGGCTTTGGGGCCCAATATACTATAATGATAATAAGGAACCCCCAAAATAGTATTGGTAATTACTAAGGCCCCTATATTACACACTGAATCCAGGAACCCTTGCACCTTCGGTAAGTCCTTGCGGAGGGACCTTTCATTGCAAGGGGGGATATGCCCAACCTGAACCTCAAGCCTACACCCCAAACTGCAGAAAGCCCAAACCCTAAACCCCTAAACCCTACGCCCTAAACTCTGACCTCGAAAACCCAGGACCCTAAAACAGACCCGAGATACTGAACTCCGAGCCCTCGTCCCGAGGCCCTAAACACTAAATCTTAGACTCTAAACCTTAAACCTACAATCCGAAACTCCAGAGGCAAAGAAGGCCAAAACTCTGAACAAGCTTGAACCCTCTCCATTGTAGTTCCTTTTTGGGGATACCTTATAAAATCCTTAATATATAATTGGTTAAACCAAAAAAAGGAACTACAATGGAGACTATAGGTAAATCCTAACCCAAGGCTTTGTGCGGCCAGGTGGCGCTGTGAGTCAGACCGAGTCCGCCCCGCACGATATGCACCTCGATGTCTTTGCTTGGATATCACGCTGTTGTAGCCTAATTGGTAGAATAGGGTTTAGGGTTTAGGGTTTAGGGTTTTAGGGTTTTAGGGTTTTAGGGTTTTAGGGTTTTAGGGTTTTAGGGTTTTAGGGTTTAGGGCTTTAGGGTTTTAGGGTTTAGGGTCTGAGGGTTTGTAGGGCTCGATAATGACTTAACCAACAAGGTTTGCTTGGTGAGCGATGATCGGGTTTTGACCCTGTTTCGGAATATTTCGTAATGGTAAAATACCACTGTAGTCCGTAGGTTTTGGGGGTTCAGGGTTTAGTGCTCTGGGGTCTTAGGGCTCCGGGTGCAGTGCGTTTTGGTCATTGCTTGTGTGTTTGTTGTCTCATCAGTATATATGCCCTATTTAAAACTTACATGGCATGTGGGGAACCGTTTGCAGGCACGCTGTACTCAACAATCTACTAGATCGACTCTTCCGACCCTTTCCATGCACTCCACCTGACTGCACCTGGACCAAACCCATAACAATAGCTTAGGGTTTAGGGTTTAGGGTTCACCCTACACCCAAAACCTTGAACCCCATCTTGGCCATTTCCAACACTTGAAGGGAATCCGGTGAGAAATCCCAGGGCTCCAGGCGTCGTAACTCAGCTGCAACGCAGAGAGCATCAAGTAGACCCTGAGCTGCTTGGAGTGCCAGGTGGCGGCTCATGCGTTTGGCAGTTCAGAGTTTCTGTCTGGTTTAGCGTTCCATGTTTAGGGCAGCTGGGTTTAGGGCTTAGGGTTTAGGGTTTAGGGATTGGGGTTGAGAGTTTGGGAACCTGGATTGTGACATTTGGTAGCTTCACGGGACGATCCGATTGTCATTGAACAAGACAACCACGACGGCAGCAACCACTCCACGCGCTGGGTGTTTTTGCTTCCTGTCTATAAAAAAGGGGCAGTACAATTAGTTAGAATACGGTTTTGGGCTTCATTGATCATAGTAATGTCATAGTAGACTTATGATATAACGAGGACCCTATTGGCCATTAGGCTTCTATTCTTAGTAGGTAGGGGGCTTTGGCCTCTGGAACGCCCGCAGAAGCCAAGGTGGGTATGTGTGTGTGTATATATATGTGTGTGCTTGTTGGTTTGCATCTTTAATTTGTGGCTTTGCTTGCTTGTAGGTGTGTTCGTGGACAAATTATTTTCGCTCTTGTCGATAGCTACGTTTGAAAAACATTCAGATCTCGGGACTTTGGGTTAAATGATGAAGTAGCCACCTTTTTAAAGTACACAGAAGTGGGCTACCATGCGGCATCAGGCACCGAAGGAGTTGGTGCTGCTGTTGTCCTTCTGGTTGTTAGGGTTTAGGGTTTAGGGTTTAGGGTTTAGGGGCTGCTTTGAGATATCCATGCCGATGATTGGGTTTAGGCCGCTCTTGAGCAATGACCTATTCAAGATTGATACTGGTACATAACAGTTCGAAGCCCCAAACCCTAATCCGGAAATGAAGACTCCATAGGCTCCCATGTGCTCAAACACGCCCAAAGCCCTAAACCCCTAAACCCTTACACTCTAAACCCTCGACAAAGAAATGAACAGAAACTACTTGTTGCTGTTGGCCATCCGGAAACCTATTTTATTTCCGGTCGGGACACAGCCTTTTCAATTTCTAGAAAACCAAACTACCCACCCGCGATTGGCTGAAGGACCCCCCGCAAAATGGCCTAGCCTGGGCAGGGCAGGGCAGCCTGCCCTGCCCTGCCCCTGCCCTGCCCCCTCAGACGCTATAGACACAGGATTTCGCATGCTTGCCTTCTCGCAAAACCATAGCCGTTTCTGGGTCGGTCTGTTTGCTGTCATGTCATGTTTCCGATGCCTCGCAGCTTCTCGCATCCATCGCGGCACTTCGGCTCGAGCTGTCTAGCCGCTTCCCTCCGTGTCTCCTCCTGCACTTCTGGATCTGGGTAGTTCTCTAAATTAGGGTCCCCTTTTAGGTCCCCAATATTCCCTTGTAATTAAAAAAGGACCCCCAAAGGGACCCTAATTTAGAGAACTACCCATATGGCAGACAAGCCCACGACTTTACCACCTTGCGCATCTCCTGTGCAACGAGCTTGGCTGGGTCAGGATAGTCCGCCATAAACGTTGTTGTGCCCCCTAAACCCTAAACCCGTAAAGCGCTAAACCCTAAACCCCAAACCCTAAAAAAAGCCAACCCTTTTCGCAGAAGCGCCCGAAGCGATCTCAACAAGAAGAGATAACTTTGCGCGAAAAAGGCCACAAGTCCCCGGCCCCAATTTGGGTTTAAGGGTTTAAGGGTTTCAGGGTGTTAGGGGTTAAGGTTTAGGGCCCGAAAGCCAAAACTCCAATGGGCCCTAAAGCTCTGGATCCGATGTCCTCAACACTTTAGGGCCTTTAGGGTTTAGGGTTTAGGGTTTAGGGTTTAGGGGGGTTTAGGGGTTCAGGGTGTAGGGGTTTAGGGTTTAGGGCTCTGAGCCCGATCAGCCCTCATACGCAAAACCTTCAACCCTAAACCCTGAAGCCCAAATCCCAAACCATAAACCCCCCCCAAGCTCCCGGCACGTAGAAAACATAGAAGCAGAGGAGGGTAAAGTTTTGCAGCATGGAGGCCTCTGGCTGAGCGAACCCTGAACAATTTAGGGCATTGGAGGGCAAAAAAGGGTTTCGGTTGTAGGGCTTGGAGCTTTAGGGTTTTGGTTCGGTTTAGGGCTTTATGGGGTGTAAATTTAGGGTTTCGGAATACGGTTGGAATTTAGGGTTTGGTTCTTTTAACCTGGCGCACTCAGAGATTGCCGTCACAGGATCTCCATTTGAAGTAAAGATACAAAAACAATACTGCTAGAGCCCTCATAGAACCCTTGTAGAACCTGTATGGATCTAGAGAACCCGTTTTAGAGACTGTTTCAGCATTGTAGATCATGGGGGCTGCTAAACAGTCTTGACAAAGCCCTATAAGCCCCTAACCCTAAACCCCCAGCCCCTTCAAGCCCTAAATAAACCCTTAATCCTGAACCCTAAACCCTAAACGCTAAACTGTAGCGGACCTATAGGCATAGAAATCTTGAGGCAAAGAGCTCCCACTACAGGGGCCTTCACAAGCAGAATAGGGTTCCTTTAGAGGGTGCTATGAGGGCGGTTTAGGGTTTAGGGTTCGGGGTTTAGGGTTTAGGGGTTTAGGGTTTAGGGTTTAGGGTTTAGGGTTTAGGGGGGTTTAAAGCTTCAGGGTTCCGATGGGTTTTGAGGGTTTTATGGTTCAGGGCTCCGG